GGCACATAACCACCACCACCACCATGTATTGGAACTGACTCAACAGCACTTAACAAAAACAACAGTGGTTTTTTTGTTATACCCATGTTGGTCAAACCATGTTAGGCACAACTATGGATTTTTAGTTGCCTTTATCTAAAAAATATATATGGTTTAAGGAGCTATGTACAGTTGACTAGTTGACAAGGAGTGGACTGTAATTAAGATTTAGTGTCAACCTGGCTGAGCCAGGATTCTCAGTGGTTTAGTAGTTGAGATGTAGTTTCCACATCTGTGATGCGATCTAATATAATGCAATCAATCCCATGATGAGAACATCTCTGATCTGATGTAATTATCCTATGTATTGCAAATTTATATTAATGAAATCAGGTACAATCTGCAGAATTAGGTTGTATCTTGAGTCAATCTATTTTGGGCTACAAATGGAATGAGACGTGAGCAGAGAAAGGGGGACCTACTACTACTATGATATAAGAGCCAAGAGTGAAGTTAATCCTTTGGATCTGGGGCCCCTGCACAGTGAATCTCTTACATCCAGGGAAAGGTGGATGCCAAGACATCAAGTGATCTCCAAAGAATACTTGGACTACAGATGCTGAAAGGAAACAAGGACCTTTCCCCAGAAGTGACAGAAAGAAAGTTTCCCCTAGAGCCAGCATTCTGAAGTTGGGCTTCTAGCCTCCTAACCCATGATAGAATAAATGTATGGTTGTTAAAGTCATCACTTAGAGCAGCATTTGATAATTAAAACACTGTCTTTTATTCGCTACCAAAAATGGGGCTATAGCTTTTTTTGCCACATCTACTGCAAGAATGAAGACCATTCTCAGCAACCAGACTGCCGAAATTCTGGAGATCGTAAACATTAGTCCGAAGGGCTGCACAGTCATCATGAAGGGCCCCCAGTGAACCCTGTGGAGGGACTTCAACCACATTAATGTGGAACTCAGCCTCCTGGGGAAGAAAAAGAAGAGGTTTTGTGTTGAATAATGGTGGGGAAACAGAAAGGAATTGGCTACAGCCCGCACCATCTGTAGTCATGTGCAGAATATGATCAAAGGTGTTACACTGGGCTTCCATTACAAGATGAGGTCTGAGTATGCTCACTTCTCCATCAACGTTGTTATCCAAGATAACACAGGACTCTTGTTGAAATCAGAAACTTCTTGGGTGAAAAATGCATTCGTAGGGTTCAGATAAGGGCAGATGTTGCTTGTTCAGTATCCCAAGCCAAGAAAGATGAATTAATTCTTGAAGGAAATGACATTGAATTTGTATCAAATTCAGCTGCTTTAATTTAGCAGGCCACAACAGTTAAAAACAAGGATATCCAAAATTTTTGGATGGTATCTATGTGTCTGAAAAGGGAACCATCCAACAGGCTGATGAGTAAGATATAACAGCTATCCAGCTATGGAAACATGGCCTGAGTGATTCCTAAGACCTATTG